GACAGACAGGGCACTCACAGCCTGGGGACAGACAGAGCCTGGGGACACCCAGGGACACCCAGCACTGCCTGGGAACAGCCACACTCAGAGCCCTCCTCACCCTCCTCACTGCCTGCAGCACTCAGAGCACACACAGCACTGCACTTGCTGCTGCTGACTGACAGACAAATTAAGACGTCAAACAAAAATCTCAACTCCCTCAAAACTAAAACTAACAAAGCCTGGAACAGATAAAGTACTAAAAACAACACCCCTGTCAGAGCTGCTCTGGTTTACTTGCAGTTCCTGTTCAGCAGTAGGTCAGGCCAGCCTGCTACAATAGCTAAGGGGAGCATTTCCACAGCTCAATTAATTCTTCTCTGCCACGTGTCCTCCCTCTGCTCCTGATATGCTGCCTGTGCATTTTCATTACCTTCTTGGACTTCTGGATCTGTCTCTCTTCTCTCTGTTGTCTTTGTCTTCCTTATCTCTCTTCTCTTTGTCTTCATCTTGTTTCTTCATGGAAGCCAGTTTCTCCTGCTCTATCTGTGCAACCAAATATCAGCACTTAACTCGGAGGCAGCACAGAGACCTTATCAAATATGCATGTCCAACACCAGCAAATATCTGCTTCAGGACTGGAACATTTTGCCCAGACAGAATTCTGCTGATCCCAAAATGTCTACTGGAACAGCCACCAATTCTGCCCCATGCTCACCCCCCACCCACAATTCCATTTAAAAGAATCCCACCTGTCGTTGTTTTATTTCTTCTTTCTTCAGTTCCAGAAATGCAGTTGGAATACCAGCAATGTTTTCTTGTGCACTTAATAGCAGTGGCCACAGTTCTCCCATGAACTCCCTAGCATTTTTCCCATTCAAAAAACCAGTCAGGTTGATTTGCATCATTTTGGAATCTGGGTTCTGCAAAGAGATATGACAGGAAGACAAACCGGTTATCTGAAAAAACAACAGACAGTCTATATTAAACTTAAATTAAAACTACCATGGGGGCTAAAATACATATACACTCAAAAACTACTTTTTAAAAATCTTTCCCTAGTCATTTCTCATCAATGTAAGTTTATTGTATTAATAATTTTTTTTCTTTTTGTGCCTTACCATAAATATTCAGAAAGGCCTGTTAATCCTTTGTGGGTTTTGTAAGTTTTTGGACCACGTGGCTGCTCTACAGGAAATCAGGGGCCTTTAATTTAACACACCATTACAATGCTGCTACAAGATTTCAGAATTATGTTCTAAACATGATTTTCCTGGTTGTTTTGATTCTGCTTGCTTGGAAATCTCTCTCTGAACATGTGCACAAGGGACAGAAGCTGTGTCAGTGCCTGGCACTGGAGATGGCAGCCTGTCAATCCCTCTCTCCTGCAGTCAAAGGCCAAGAGTCATGCATGCATTTTCTGACTTTCTCCCAAACTAAGGCTCTGCCTGCCTGAGGGAGCACGAGCTACGTAGGTGCCTTACAGATTGTCTCAATGTCACCATGTCATGTCCACAAAGGGTTAAGAGGTCAAAAGGTTTCAAAGTTAAAATGGGCTTTTAAATTCTAATGTCGTTTGTTGGTCAAGCAACAAGGTCCATATAACAAGCACAGCTCAACAGCACAAAGCAAGTACAGATTCCAGGTGTCTTCAGTTTCTTCTTGGAACCTTGGGGGGTTTGGAATCGCCAAGTCCCCTGTAGAGAAAGATGTTCCCTTGGCTTGCTTCCGACTCCCTACTGCAACTCAACCACCTTGAGTTTAATGTTATATCATTTATCTAAATTGCAAAAGACGAACAAGCAATAATGAGTACACAACCACAAAAAAAGAAAAGATTGTTTTTTAAAAAAAGTTCTAAACTTTAATCATGCTTAGTATAAGGGGAATTCAAATGAGTATTCAGATTGTATTACACTAACACATGATAAGAAAACATTTCCTATTATGACCCCTGGCTTTAGTTAGCTTAGTACTTAAAATTATTTCCCCTTTTTGTTCTCTATACATAAAAGTATCTAAATATTCATGAAATAGATACTAACATCTTCAAAATAGAGTGAAATTTAAAGGGTTTTTTTTTAAACAGCAATACCTTTATCAGTTGAAATGTCAACTGTTCTCTCAAAACACAAGGTTGAACTCTTAGGAAGAAAGATTAAGTGTAAAGTACATCAGCATGAGAATGTTTGCCAATAATTCGTATTGTACAGCTTTTACTGTCCCTTGGGTTGCAGTGGCACAGTGGCAGATATTAACAAAAACTGAGTTTATGACCACCTCATGTTATTCATAGCCTTCACATGAAGTTTACTGCATTAAATGATCTGGTGTATCAGTCTGAAGGTTAACTACAGCAAATAGAAATACTATTTGTAAATACTGCCTACAGCAATTAGCAAAAGGAAAAATTAACATGGCTATAGATGTGGTGTCTACACTGACTCCAGCACTCTCCATTAAATTACCATCGGATCAATTCAGAATTCCCCTCATGCTGCACACAAACCCTGAGCTACTTTACAGTAATTTCAAGAGCAGTGTAAAGCTTTGCCCAATTGCTCTTTCCTGGATGTTTTGGTTCGGCCACTTTACACAACTCACCTCCAAACACACACTGCATCATCAAGGGAGTTGGGTCAGAGCGACATTGGACACTCACTCTGCTGTGACCTAATAAGGTGATGGTGCTATACTTCAGACGCAAGGAATAACTTCCATTTTGGTTCAGGCCTTTTAAATCATAAATCACATCATCATTAGAAAATTGCTGTCAAAGTAACTTAACATGTAACAGCAAAATTAAAACAGTAAGTTTGATTTTTCACCTGAGCAGTTTGCAAACTATGCACCTTCACTAAACTTGCAGCCTTACAGCTGTTACACAGTGAATTTCTTTCAAAAATATACAAAGTAACAAAACCCCTCCTAACTGTACTTGAGAAATTCACAGATTCAATAGAATTCATAAATAATTATGTTACACATTTAGAAACAATATCCACAACAAAATTGTTACCTTCACTTCCAACTGGTTGAATATAAATTCAATTACTACATCATCTTCAAATCCAAGGATTTCTGTTACTCGTTTTGTTATCCATGGTTTGATTACTTCCAGATTTACTTTGCTCATGTCCACCTGTATCAAAGAGCCAGCAGAAACACAACATTTTTCCTGAATTCCTTCATTGAAGAATGAATTTTTTGCTGCTTCATAACTACCTCAGCCTAGTTTTGTCTCAAACCACTTTGCTGCTGTTCAGCAGAGGTTATAGTCTGATCAAAGCACATCTTTGGATACCCTTTTATTTCTTCCCTAATGGAGACTTCCCTCTCCTGAACCTGGAGATGATAACATTATTATAAAATTAGAACCTGGAGATGATAACAAAAGTCAAAACATAGCTTCTAGCAAACCCTAATAAAGTACTGGCAGGAGCAGAGAGAGGGGAAAAACCAAAGTGAAACTTGGATTGTGTACGGTTTATTGGTCACTCCCAAGTAAAGAAATGAAATGAAATGAAATGAAATGAAATGAAATGAAATGAAATGAAATGAAATGAAATGAAATGAAATGAAATGAAATGAAACTGAGTGATAAAGCAAGTCTTGATCCAGGCTCATCACATCCCCTGTCCACCAGACCCCAGCAATTTGGGGGCTGCATTTAAGGATGCTTAGAACACCAAATTAATCAGTATTTGCTGGGAAGCTGACTTTTTTTGAAGCTGTATGTTACACAAAAGCCTGCTGGTGATATTTAGTACATCAAGCAGACAATTTATATCACTGCTGCACCTGATGTTCAAGGGGACATCCCAAATACCCTCCAGTATGGTTTTAGGGAGGACATTGCTCACATTCCTCAGTTCCACCTGACACCCAGTGAAAAGTGACTGCTGGGTCTGGCTCCCCATTCCCCCACCCCACTTACCTTCTTTTCTAAGCATTCTGCAAACTTCAACTGCTTCAACAGCTTCTTCTGCTTGTTGCTGAAGCGATTGTCCTGCTCTGCACTGGTTCCCTGGAGCACAGCAAACAACAGGGAAGGGTGTTGTTCAGGATGTTGTTCACGAGTTCAGCTGCAGGGCCTTCCCCACCTCCAAGGGTTATTTCCCACCTGCCTGCACGTGCACCAGGGAAACCAATCTGCAAGGCTGCTTTTTGGTCAATTATTCCTTTCCAGGTGCTTTTCAGTTTGAGCTCTCACCAAGGGCTGAGGATTTTGGGTGAGCAGCTCCTGAGCCCCACAGTGAGACCTCAATCATATCCCCCCTGGCACTGCCCACAAATTAATGTATTAGCAGCATCAAACAGCCAGGAAAAGGCTTTATTAATTCCTTAATAATAGAAATAAAGTGGTTTTCCTCTGTCCAGGAGCAAAAATGTCCTGTTTGCTTACAGTGACACCCTGAAACCTTTGGGCAGCTTCCCTGGGGCAAAGAGAAGCACAAAGAATGCATTTTATTGATCCTGCTCTGTTAAAAGTTCACCAGCTGGCTGCACTTCCACAGACAGGAGCTGTGGGTTAATTCACTATGGAGGGAAAGGCCTGGAGTCCAGGTCTGGAAAATTTACTGGCAGAGCTTAAACAGAAGCAGGAAGGATTAGAGGAGATGCAGGGCTGCATCTGCTGGGCTGCTCCTGACTGAGGACAAACCCACAGCTGGGGTTTGAAGTTTATTCTGGAAACCAGGGAATTTTGTACAGGTAAGTCTCAATGGAAGAACAGGGCTCAGCACAAGCAAAAATATAAATTGTCAAGGAAGTAAATGATAATAAAGAAGAGAAAATCCCAAATTCTAAGTTCACTTTGGTCAGAGGGCACCTGGAATTAGCAATGTAACACGCTGCAAAGTCATCAGTTATTGAAAGGGAACAATCCACTGACAATTCCCAGCTGCTATTCCAGGCCATGGGAATCCTAAAGTCTGGCTGTGGCACAGGCACTGCCAGGATTAAAACTCTTTACGACATTTGCAGTCTGTGTGTGGCTTTCAAAACAACCCACAACACTTGCCAGTTCACTCAACAACTCAATGTCCTTTTGGGGTTTTTTAAAATTATTTCACAACCCAGAAGGGAAATGGAAAGGAAGTTTCTTGTTGCTAACACGTGGCAGGCAGCAAAGGGAACCAAACAGGGCAGAGCAAAGGGGCTGCAGGAATTTAAAGACAGACAAAATAAGTTTGCACTGACACTTCACAGAAATGTGAAGAACTGACAGAAATATAAATAGGAATTGCTTGGTATGGGGAATCCAAATTGTTGCTCTGCCGCATTTCTGTCATTTCACATTTGGTTCCTCCTGAATCCAGAATAAAACCAGAACAGTTCACAGCCCCATTTCTGTGCCATGCTGCTTCAGTTTTTATAAAATGCCACCTTCCCCAGGCCAGTTCAAAAGAATATTACAGCTCTAATCCAGAGTTTTCAGCCCCAGTAATCCTGCTGTCAATCAACTGTAAACCTTTTAACAGCTGCATTACAACAAGTGCAGAATTAATCTGCAATTATTTTTCTCAAGTTAGCCCATGAACACAGAGCTGAACTAAGGGAGGGGTTATGTATGCTGCGGTATTTTAAAAGCACCCTAGCTGCAGGAAATTAAAATATTATGCGCTGAACAAATGAATGAACCTTGAAATTTAGACTGGTTCTCAAAAATTATCACGGAAACCCCCCAGATAAGATCATTTCAATTAATGGCGGAAAAAGATGAAAAGAAATAGACCCTGCGTAGGTTTCATGGTCTCTGCAGAAAATGCAGCTCTAAGACTGGGGAAGAAACTCAAGGATTAAAAACAAAATACAAACGTATGAATACAGCCTAGCTTCTTTTTGCTATGAATACACTTAAAAGCCTCTAAAAAAATTTCAATAAACACAGGGGCAGGGTTGTTTATTTGCTTTGCCGTGGCCACTAAAGAGCGCGGACAGCTCAAACCCGGCCTGGCCCCTCGGAGCCCTTCGGCCCC